CCAGACCCAGCTTCTGAGCTCCCTCCAGCTCCTGGCTCTGTTTGAGCTCCTTCATCCTGGGGGACAGAGAGGGGGTTAGAGGGGCAGACACCCCAGGGACCCTCCCCCCACCCCCCAATGGGCCTGCCCCTTACCTGTGTCGGCAGCGCCGCAAGAACCGCATAATCTTGCGGGCAGCCTGATCCTGCTTCTTCGTCAGGAACGGGCCCCTGCGGGGGGGCCGAGTGAGCGTGGAGCAGGGAAGGAACCCAGGTGCCTGGGCTCCCAGTGCCCCCGATCTCCCCACCAGCCCCCTCCCCTCCTAGAGAACCCAGGTGTCCAGATCCCCAGCCCCACACCCCTCCCGGACCCTCCCACAACAGGGAGGGAATCCAGGTGTCTCGGCTCCCTGCTCTCAACCCCCAGACCCAGGTAGAACCCAGGTGTCTGGGCCCCCTGCTCCCACCCCTGAGATCCACATACAACCCAGACATCCAGGCCCCCCAACCCAACCCCCTGCTCCCACTCCCCAGATCCAGATAGAATCCAGGTGTCTGGGCTCCCACCCCCAAATCCAGATAGAACCAGGTGCCCATCCCCAAGGTGGCAGTACCGGAGACGGTGGGGCACGGGTGGGCATGGGGGCCGCGCGGGCGCGTCAGCGCGGTAGCTACGGTAGCACTGCTGAATGAGCACGGCTGCACGCCGGCTCTGCTGGAACTTCTTCTGCTCCCAGTAGCTGCGGAACTTGCTCTGGATGAGTATGGCTGCCTGCGTCATCTTCTTGTACAGCGCGTACTGCGGGGACAGGGGACAACAGTGAGGACCCAGGTGTCCGGGTGCCCTGCTGCCCTCCTCCACATATGGGGGAACTCAGGCATCCGGTGCCACGCTAGCTCCTCAGATGCAGCTGGGGACCTGAGCTCCCTGCTCACATACAGGAGGGGACCCAGGCAACTGGGCACCCAGAGAACCACACAAGAGAGCCTAGGCATCCAGAGCTTTGAAACCTCTCCCTTAATATAACCTACTGGACCACATCTCCCTCCCAGAGCAGAGAGAAAACCCAGACATCCGGGTCCCTCTGCTCTCAACCCCCAGCCCCCTCCCCTTCCAAAGAACCCAGGCATCCAGGCCCCCTGTGTGCACCCCCCACCTGGTACCTTGAGTGCGATCCATGTCAGCTTGTGGGTCAGAGACAAGAGCA